GGGAGTGGGAGTGAGGGTGGGGAATGACTCTGTGGTTTCTAACTTCATCTATGAGCTATTTAAATGTTCATGGAAAGCAGCATTTGGGGTAAATGTATATGATTCCAAATGTACTACAGGACCTTTCAAATACAGACATGTCTCAAAAGTTGTCTTAAATTTGTGTTCGGTGGCACACAAGTCTCATTCCATGCAACTTAACCGATCTATGGGCTAATTCTAAAATGGAAAGTGATTTCAGTATGGACATCATTAGAATGTCTGAAAACCATTCATCACCTCGAAGACTCCTGGCTAGGAACTGGATTTACTTAGTCGTCTTTTATAGAAGTTCTCTAGATAAATGCTGTCCAGTAGAACTTTCTGCAGTGGTGGAAGTGTTCTGTAATCTACACTGTCCAGTAGGATAACCACTAGCTACATGGGGCTATTGCAGACTTGAAAGGTAACTGAGGAACTAAATTGTAAAGTTTATTTAATTTCAATTAATTCAAATTTAAATGATATAACCGCCTTCCCCACTGTTACCTCCTCTCACTTGTGCAGTCTCTCAAAGGAATTGGCATTGCATTTAGCAGTGGAAGTTGGTTGCAAGTGACACTGTGGGCTTTTTGCTGTCATTTCTTTATTAATAATGTAAATATTGCAAGGATGCTGTATGAATGCCTGATAATATGGCAGTGAGCAAGACACAGTCTCTGCTCTCATAGGGCTTACAGTCTGGTATGGCAGACATTTATTAAGTTGATAATTATCCATATTGTTAATGGATTAAGACTGTGATGATTGTTGCAAAGGAGAAACGCAAGAGGCTAGGAGAGTATAAAATGGGGGCCATATCTTCTTGTGAGATTAGTCAGAAACTTTAATCAGAGTTCTGTTTATTCACTAAACAAGAAAAGCTTGAGGCGACTTCCCTTCCCCAAGTTCAAGGCTGGGTCAGGCTGGCTGCAGGATCCAGGGCTCTCAGTGTAGGGCAGCTAACCTCTGCCATGTCATGACCTCCGAAGATGTGGGGTCTGTCTCATTAAGCTGCATGCAGACACATACTGCAAACTTCTGAACTTGATCAAGTCGCTTCTCTCCTAAACTATGCAGTTGTGATGATGTCAGTCACAGATAAGATGTGAGAAGAAGGGTGCAAATGTTTACAGGATATTGCATTTCCTCTCCAATATATGTTTTGACAAAGTTGTTTGGGCTCCAGCCCCAGCTTTTTCCTCTCTGCTCTTACAAATTTGTATTTGGTCCATTCAAGAAATGATGTGGAAATCAGTCCTGACATCCGAGACAGACAAAATGAGACACATGACAGCAAAGCATATGGCTCAAACAGACATCCTTATATGGCCAACGCAGACCATATTCCCAGAAATTCATATCTAGATAACACCACCTGCAGCTAAAGCCAAAAAACAAAGAGTTAACACGACAAAACGAGCAATATGCTACATAAATTGTGCTGCTTTAAGAGTGTAGAGAGATAGCCAACTGTATTTGAATTTAAAAAGACGGGGAAAAAAAAAATCCCACCCATGTCCTTAGAAAGTGCTCTGGTGGTAAGCATTGCTTTGCTAACACAGTCACTGGCGGCGTTGCCGTATCTTAAAAGCGTTCAAATTCTAAATGCTTTCTCTGTTTATTACAAATGTATGTGCTATTCAGAACTCTGAATGTGTTTTAATGCTCTCGGATATCTGCCTGCATATTTATCTTAATATGATGCCATCTGAAACATGCAGTAGTCCTTTCATTATTAAGTTTTTAAAAAAATCTTGTATATCTGTTACAATATTTTGTCTTTGCTACCTTTATGTAGCCAGTCTGAATGCCGCCTTGTATGATAAAAAATTGATATACTCTGTTTTAACTGTACATGCATGTTAAATAGCTCATGTATTTGACTTGCAATATTTCATGGTCCTGAGGTTTTCTATTTTGATAGCTAGATTTATAAAGTTTATTTTGTGTGAACTTTTTTCAATACTTCCTTGCATCTTTTGCCAAATATTAGATGCCTGTGCAGAATAAATTGATGTTTTTCTCCCTCCACCATGATAGTTTATCTTCACGTATGCCTAGGAAGGTGGTATTTTCCTAATTATTTTTCTGTTCTTTATTTTAAGCTGGGCTTACACTGGCCAATGCTCAGTGGCCATATTAAGTATTCTAAAGGGTAGATAATATATAATAATTAAGTTCATCAGTGGACGCATGACTTGAAGGGCATAAATGTCTGTGTGCCATTTTACTTACGTCATTTCATATAACCATATAGTTCTGAAATAAAGAATGTGCTTAAGGGAAAATTATATATGTGTGATTAATAGACTCATAATAGTAGTATATTGTTATTCTTTATAATAAAGTCATTATTAGATGTCTTTGTCTTCATTTATTCTATCATTTTCCAAAGCCATGTCTATCCTTATTATACACTTTTATCTTTTATGTTTGAGAATTAGTTTGTAATTCCTGTATAAAAGGTGCTCTTCATATTTAAAGATTACTACTTTAATCCCCATGTTACGTTAGCAGTGACCAGGTCATTAGGGGGCTCAGGTAATCAGGAAGCTTTTTGTCTCATTTATTTGTGTAAATGATGGGATAAACATATTTACAATATTTTATTACAGTGTGTTTTAATATTGATATTTTCAATAACCCTTTTTTAGTACTTTTCTCTTTGCTCAAATTTTGTTTTACCCAACAACTTACTTTCTTTTTTTGAAAACATTCAACTTTAAGTGAAGTTGCATGGATAAATGTTTTTCTTTTTTTTTTCCGCAGTCCACTATCATTGTTCTTTATTTTTTTTTTCTTTTGCTATTGTTTGTAAATTTGTACAGCATGTTACTAGAATGCACTGTCCATTCAGAAAACCAGGCAGGTTTCAGGGAAGCATGTCAGGCGTCACCAGTTTGGAGCAACTACTAAAATATCCGTCTTGGAAATTCCCAGTTTAACCTATCATATTGCAAAAATCATTGTCAGTATGGAGATAATTGATATCTGTGTTTTTCTTTTAAATGTCAAATACCTTTTTTTAAATAAGTGTTAAGTACTTCCATCCACAATACCAACTCTGACACCAGTGCTACATTTTGCCATGTTTGTGTATTTCCTTATTGAGTAGATTTCTTATACTTTAATTAAAATATCTTCCTCCAGATTTCCCCACATTTCAACTTTTAAAAATGTGCTATCATGAGCTTTTTAGGAAAAATTGCCTTATATTTCTTTTCTTGTTTTTGATGCTGTGTTGTTGTGTTTTATTATCCCATGTTCTTTCTTCTGCTCAAGGCTTGGATTTATATGTGCCAGGATTCACGGTTGCCTTCCTCGATTTTGACTAACCTTTCCGGTTTGTGGGTGAAACTTGGGGGCCATTAGAGTGATATATTTTCATCGTGTTTCTCCTAAACTTGTCCTCCCCAGGAGGCCATTATTTCCTATACTTTATCTTCTGCTTTACCTTCTGCTTTTCTTAGATTTCTAATGTAAACTGTGTCTCTAAGAGTGTATTGGTAGCTTTAAAGAGCTTAATTTGCATATTTCCCTCTTATCTCAGTACTTGTGCTAACTTGTTGCTTTTTTATGTGTAACAAAATGTTTATCTGACTGGTTTTTCTCTTTACTAGTGTATTCTGAAAAATAATTCTTATAACATTTTTGGTTTTGTTTAATGATTAACTGCCTTCAGGGTATTAAGATGTTAGTACTAACACCTAAGCGATAAACACTGCATTTCTATTTTGGGCAAGATTGTAATGTTCTTCATTTTTATAGGAACTATATTTAATAGACTATCTAAATAAGGGGATCAAGATTATGTATGACCATTTATCTAACTCGGTAACTTACCCTAGATTTCAGCAGAAGTATTTACTGCTACCACAGATGTTTTTGCCCATCTAAACTTTCCTATCTTTCACCCGGTGTAAATTAATTCAAGAATGGTGGCATCTTCTCCTTTGTAATAAGTCAGGTCTCTTTCAAGTGACCCAAATTTTAAGTCGGTCACTATGAGTCGCGTATTCTTCCTCCAGCGTGTTGTGTGGCTCAGAAGTGAGGGAGTTTTGAACCAACCTCTGACCACTACAGAAAACTCTTACTCAGGTGTTTTTCGACATTGGCTCTTAATAGTTCCGGATTCACTCTCCTTTGAGGATAGATATTTGCGAGAGCGTTTCAAGGATTCTGGCCTTTATTCCTCTGCAGACGTTTCTGCATCCTCTGCGCTCCTCCGGAGAGATCTACCTCCCGATTGTCCCCTTCAGCCACTTCCTGAAGTCCCCCTACTTCAGCACTCAGCGCCTGTCACCTGCGTGTCCCGGCCCCTCTCCGGCGGGGCCGGTGCGCCCTCCCTGCCTCGCCTGTCCCTTGGGTGCCCGCCTGCGACGCTCCCGACGTATTCCTTTTTGTGGCTTTTGTGGCGTGTGGGTGGGTGGTTAGTTTTTTCCCCTGGCCCTCGCCCCCTCCTCCCCATCACTTTCATCCCCCGACCCCCCACCCCCCGCCAGTCCTGCCCCTCCTCCGCCCCGCTCACTCTCGCACACCTGCCCCTGCCGCCCGCGCGCCGCGCGCTCCCCTCCCCGCCGCGGCGGCCGCTGCCAGGGAAGCCCCCCTCCTCCTCCCCCTGCGCCCTCCCCGCGCGCCTGGCGGCGGCCGGCGCTGGCCCTCGCGCGGCGCCCTGTTATTCTGGGTATTGTGTGTAATAAATGTCGGGCCGCCTCACTCTAATCAAGCTCATTACAAATTCTTGCGCGCCCGGGGCCGGAAATCGTGCGCTCCCCCCACCCCTTCCCTCACTCATTCACTAGTTACTTGTCTTTCTGCTTTTTAACTCGCCGCCCCCGCCCCCTCCCCCAATCCCGGCCCTCCAGCCCGGGTTTTAATCCCCATCCCTTTTCCGCCTTCTCCTTGCACCCTGCCCCCCCCCCCCCCCCCCC